AAGTAGTAATAGATTTTTTAATTCGTATTTGCTGGGACCCGTATTTTTCAGACGCCTTGTGTATGAAATCAAATTTCGGCGAATCTGTTCAAGAGGTTTAATCTTTGTATAGTTTAGATACGCCTGAAACAAGGATCAAATATTTTATGAGATGCTATGTCTGTGCTACATCTGATCTTATCGATTAACACCGTTCTTCACCAATCAGTACATACTTCCCAATTTATTTGATTGAATTCACGAGAATAGAAAATCCGAAGTGCAAAGGATGTTGCGAGGAGTGTGCAATGAAATACGCAACGGCTTTTTTAGTTTTAATAGAAAACATATCTGCTATATTATCACCGTAATATAATACAATCACTGTTGCGATTAACAGTCGACAGAATAACGATGGTGATGTGTATCTATGTATATCGCTAAATTATCGCTTAGGGTTACGATCGAGAAGTTACAAATGAACACTAAAAAATAGAGAGGTACATACATTTAAATAAAGAAAACAGTCTTTCGAGGTACAGCGACATAACAACACGGATCAGTATGCGATCAATTAACTCGCATTTATAATTATAGCACGCGAATATTCGATTAACTTATCATTAACTAGCGCAACGGTGTCCAATGAATACTGTTATCTAACGATGGTACACAAAAATGCCCTCCGCCGTAAGTGCATACTTTGCGGGAAGTTTGTCCCGATTACGCGAAGCAATCCCTTATAAATAGATTAAATTCAGGACTGGCTAACTTTTTCGGCCGCAAGCCACAAGCTCCCACGATCAGTCCCTCCCTTTCCCCACTACTCGAGTTCCGTAAACACTGCGGTGCATAGAGGGGACGAACTACGGAGCACGTAAGAAGGGGGGAAAAACTACACGTGGCTCGCGAGTCGCCAGTTATCCTGGATTAAATGAACACTACCAAAACATGACCGCGAATCATAATCTAAAGCAGTGTTCTTCGCAGTTCCGTTTGAGAAAATTATGGATATGATGTTTGCTCCCATAGAATCCTGGGAGAAGATAGTCTCCTCTTTCTTCGTTTAAATCGAATTCGAATATACGAATATCTATGTCCGTTTAAACGCGGTCTGATTACAGGCTCTTCAGCATCTCCAGACTACTGTTCCATTTTCACGAAACACCGAACAGTGACAGTATGATGTAACTAGAATACAATTGACGTCGAATAATTAATGTTTACGATTAATTTTTAGCCTGATCCAACGATCTCCTATCATTTCGCGTTACCAAATCTATCGAAGAGACATACGGACCACGCAACCGACGGTTTTGTGTTCAACGATCAAACAATTAACGCGAAATCTAGGCAGAGGTGTCTAACGGCGGATCTCGTGGGTTTGTTGTCAAGAAAGTTAAGTTCACAGGGAAAACCATAATCCGACCCAACAAACTTGTATGCTCTAACAGCAATGCAAATGCACTTTCTACGAGATTTGTAGACAATATAATACCTAGTTCCATTCGATATCTCTAAATTATAATAATAATACGATCTCACGAGATCGCTGGAGACGCTCCGCCGTCGTTTCCATAATTTTCAGCGATCCTCAAACGACCCAGACAAATCGTTGTCGTACTCTCATACGGAACTCTTCTCATTGGCGATCAACTACGTTCCTCCGGTTACTTAAATCGAACTCTCCGTTACATCGACCGGCCGAGAGAGCCGTCGAGGTATCTCTCCCTAACAAGAAACATCACGAGATGGCCGTCGCTCTGAAAATCTCAAACCTAACGATGCGATCTATCTGTCTCGCCGATCTCGTTTCTCGTATTCGAAGGTTTCGCGCCAATCTGCAAGGCGCACGATCTTACTCTTCGGGGCTGGCCTTTTTAATCGGCCGGATAGAAGCGTAAAATCGCGCGACCTTGGATCTCCGAGTGGCACAGCTTCAGGACCACGTCGAGGACCTCTTCGGCCGGGTAGACGGTGTGCGGCGGTGGCTCGATTTCGCCGGAAGCCACCAGCTTAACCAGCTCCTGCAGCTGTTCCAGGGTGCCCGGCTCCACCGATTTGATGCTCAGCTGCCACTCTTCGGCGCGTCTGCTAAATTTAGGTAGCAGCCGATCAGCGACCTCCTTGATCACGAACACCACGCCAGCCTTGCTGAGGCATTGCATGCTGCGGTGCAGACTTCGCGAGGTCGTGCCGAAATCGATAACCACGTCCACGTGGCCACCACACGCGTCCATTGTTCGCTCGATCAGCTGTTTCTCGTACAAGTCCTCGCTCCACTGGACCACGTTCACTCTGTATTCAAAGAGGAGACTGTAGGTGAATAACTCGAATGACCTGATCGGTGGACGCTGATGCATTGGGCATTTGGCGAGCTAGCTAAACTACTTCATGGTGTGCATTGTGAAACATTCTGAAGTGTTCGGAACAATTAGACGGCATTGATTAACTATTCGCGTTGATTAAGTGGAAGCAGAATTCTATTCAGAGGAGAAGTTGCTTGCTGTTTTGACGGAGTTGCTTTATCTATTAGAAAGTAATAACTAAAGTATTTGTAAAGTAAACTACGCATTTTGGAATCAGTTGTCTCACTTTCTAAAGCTATCTGCTTGTTACGAAGCAATATTTGTCTAGAATGTAAGTTCTAACTGTGACACTCTTGTTTAAGTTTCCTGAGCAGCAGCGTCGTCGTATATGATCTACAAAGAAGTCTACACTTTACGTTTACACTTCGATTATTCATTATAGAGGAGTTGAACGATTTATTGGAGAATAAAAATATAATAATTGATTTTTTGTTTGCGCATTAGTGTTCGAACAGCTCAGCTATCCTCTTTTTCCCATATGTTGCAACAACGTCGACTCAATACCAAACTATTTGTTTCTCAAACAAAAAGTTTATTTTCATAAAATATCGCGGGTCGCCTGCGACGCAACCGACTACGCCAAGCAAAACCGGAAAAGTCAAAGTAATTCCTCTGCAACTTGACCTATACGAACCGACGACGGATTCTTCCTTTTCAATTCTATTAGAAAATAACTACCCCGCCTACATGCAACTTCTATACTCTGATTTCATTCAACTGGTGCTGGAAGCTATCGGTGCAACACTAACGCAAGTAAAAACGCGAGGATGCATATTCAAAAAATTAACACACGGCAGAGAAAGAGAATAAACGTGACACACAAGCACTATATGATTTTTATCAAATCAAGCGATATTTAAGTACGCCGCATGTTGCGTAAATAGTGGAACTCGAGAAAGAATTAGGAGATAAATCTTTACGTAACATTTATCGTGGTCAAGATGTGTCAAGTGCTCGAATTGGCACGATAACATTATCATTCATTTAGCGATATGGCCGATTCCGTGGAATTACGAAAGTGTCATCGATGGTAAAGATATCTCGGACAGAGAATGTTAATTTTTGGATCAAAGATCAACGAGTGGACCTCCGTTACTCATACTTGGACACGCAACATGCAGCAGCTACTCTACGAAAAGCGACAGAACTCGTAGACCTAGTTACAGTTTCATTTGAAAATCTAGTTTATGTTGCATACCTGCAGTGGCACCGAAATACGCGCACTTTAAAAACGAAATAACTTTTTAAAAATCGAACTGAACAACTTGAATGTTTTTGAGATGGTAGAGGAACTAATTTGCTAGAGAATATCTGAAGAAAAGCTTTGTAAAAATTGCAATAGCTTGGTATGACAAATATGCGTTAAAAAATTGCGTGTTTAATGTATTTTATAAATCTCGGTGATCTATGTGATTTTTCATATTTATGACAAAAATTGGTAAATCAAATAGGGTACAACTAGAAGAAATGTATTTATATTTAACTCTTGCTTCAAGTTATCAATGGAAGACAATTTTGATTTCACTCAACAATCAGGAGTTTAGTTATGAGTTACAAACGAATAAATATTATTAAACAGCAAAAATCGCAGTCTTTCACAACATTCGACTAAGGTAGTGGAGTTGGTTACTGTGGGGTGACCAATTGCTGTGCCCTTAGTTTGTTTTCAGGCATAATTAATTTTATATTCATTGAATACGACTTACTAAATTTTTTTTCAAAATAAACAAAATAAAAGAATGAAAAAATTTAATGTGTGTTATTCGATAAATATAAAGCGAATTGTGCCTGCAAACAAACCAATAGCACAGTAATTGGTCACCTCACAGTAACCGACTGCGCTATCCTAATAACTGTATGAAATCTAGAGATTTTTACATCTTATAATGCCTATACCATGTTTCTGTGTCAACCGATTTTGACGATATCTTTAGAAGAAAAAAAACAATATTTTTATTTTGTTTGTCATTGCAATTTTAAAAAATCGTTTCTAGACATTGTCCAGTAATCTAGACCCTCTAAGATCTCAAAAAAGTTGTAATCGTTTGGACCAATTTTAAGAAAGTTATTCTACTTCAATAAGTATAAGAACACCTTTTGGAGCAACTGTACATACTGCAAGTAATATAAATACCATCTACTAACAGACGAATAATTGTTGCATAAACTGCTGGTAGAAATTTCGAGACCAAATTAGGTAAAAGTAAAATTGGCCACCCCTGTTCAGTTCTGTTTACGAATTTCTATTTACAAAAACTACACGTCGACTATCAAATACCCCAAAACTCTCAGAGTACTGTCGCTTTTCAGCACTACTGGCAAACACTAATCAGCCTACCTACAAAACATCGATATCAAGTAACTCTCCAAAGCAACTCACCGTTGGAACTCCTGAGCCATGGTGAGCCCATCGTCCTTCAGCGAGGCGATAGTGATGATGACTCTGTCTTTCATGTTGCTGAAGTAATACGCCGCGATTCTAAGAGCCCATAGAGCCAAGCCGCCGGTGCCGACGATCAGGATCTTGCAGACGCTGTTCTCGCCCCTCTGTTTGAGCAACGCCTGGACATGTTCGTGGGCGGCGAAGACGGTGTTCATGGCCAACAGAGCTCCAGCGGGTAGCATGGCTGCCACGCTCAGGCTCACGTTGTCTGGTATCTTGATCAGGTACTTCAGGTCGTGAACCACGAGGTACTCGACGTACCCGTTCGGTATTCCTTCGTAAGGGTAGAGGATCACTCGATCGCCGACGACAAACTCGCAATTTTCGGGTACGTTCGCGCCCAAAGACTCGATCACCCCTGCGACCTCGTAGCCGGGGAACAGGGCAGCGTCCCGGAACCCATGGTGCGGCAGGGACACGGGAAAGTCGCCCTCGACCGAGACCTCTGTGGCCAAACTGTTGCCACTAGAGACGGAGGTCAGGCTCCCGAGGCTAGGCGAACGACGAGGATGGTAGCAAGCGCCTGCACACATCACCCGGATTCGAGCCCCCTGTGCTGGAACATCCGGAACGGGGACATCGAAACTGAACACCCAATCGCGGCCCGCGACGTTCGGGCTCTCGATCGACACCTGTCTGCACAACTTGTTCATCTTCTCCTCCCTGAAAATAGAAGAAGACACTTTCAGACTTCGAATCAGGTGACCCGGCTTAGTTATTTTCTTATTTTTTTTCTTTTAGAAACGGGAGGTAATATAGTGTTACGGAGTTTGAGTCTCCGAAAGGCGCTACTATGTCGAAGTATGTATATGGTGTTTCATAATGTTCAGACGTAATTTCTGAGATGTATCAGATATTAGATCATGTTCGAAATCTTGTTGTTTCCGTGCACAGGTGGATAGGTAATCGTGGATAGGTAACAAACATTCGTAGTTTTTTGAGACGATATTCTCATGAAAACTTCTGAAACGTGCATTTAAAGCGTTTAGATGTTGTTTTCTACTATAAGAATATGTCGAAGTATGTCGATCAATATCAGATATTAACCCCTTGCACTCGAAGCCATTTTAATTGTAAATCTAATTTAATTTTTCCGACTTATGGTATTTCCATTTTATATAACAAAGTGCATTTTATGCATATGAAATTTATAGTCTTGCGACTCGTACAACAGTTAGACTTTCAACAATTTTTTTACGTCTAGACTTTTACAATATAAAAATTATCTTGGAACATGATGTAATAATTTTTTAATGGTGCCCCAGAGTCACCACTCGAGTGCAAAGGGTTAAACATGTTGGACACGTATTGCTTTAAATGTAGGTATAAGATTATTCAATAAATAACGATTTGTCAGGGAACATATTTGATATTGCCGAAAATATATGTTGAAAAAGAAACTTTTTTGAAAAGAAAATATCAGATTACGTTTCCGCCGGTTCCGTCAGCGCGCACCAACGGTGATGTAAACTGTATATCAAAAATACCGCGATATACCATCGCCGGTGTCGCCAGAACACACCGCGCTCTGACTGTTAGTGATTCCAGTACCGCGTATACAATGTAAGACGCGATGAATTGGTGGAGAAGACGACACCAAAAAGGGTATATAAGCAGGCGATTTTCAGTTGCCGATCTCTCAGTTGAATTTGGTCGCTCAGTCATTTCGTACATATACCTTCTCTCAAATAAAAGTAAAATAAAGCTTTTTAAGAAAAAGAATTAATATCATATTTATTTGAGAAATAATCCAAGCCGTAATCCCAATAATATATTTCTAGCGACAAGGTCACTGTTGCTGAAGTACAGTAAATTCCCTCCAATTAACGCTCAGATTGTGCACAAAAATGGACAACTTGGGAAGAGGATACGTTATTCGATTATTCGTTTTTATAGTTGTTGACAATCGGTAATTATAAAAACCAGCCGCAAGGCTCGAATAATCGTATCTCCTTTTCCCATATTGTCCATTTTTGTGTACAATCTGAGCGTCAATTAGAGAGAATTTACTGTACTATTTCGATCGGTGCGTTAAAAATTCCATGTAACGAGCGGAAGGCAGTTATTAACTGCAGCGTACTCGTTACGCCTCGATCGTTTTAGCAATCAGCTGTTGCTTTCTACCCCTTAACGTGACTTATAAAATATAACGATGGAGCAAGAAGAACAAAACGAATCGTATCGCATATATTGCTAATCGGATTACGCTAAAAATTGGATACGAATCAAGAGTCGAGAAACGAATTACTTTTCAGTAAAGATCAAAACAAACCGCGGAAACGTCGCTATTTGTGGAACTACGCATTGTTCACTATCAATTGTCTTCATAATCACCCAGATTAATTATTTTCTAGATATCGTAGCCGATCGATAGCTCAAGATATACATAGACACGAAATCACAAAAGGTAAAAACCGATATCATCGAATACCCGATACGATCAACCTTGGAACATCACAGGACACGATCATGCAAAATCAATGAAAAAAAATTGTCACATGCGTACCCTTTACAAGGTGTACAGGGTGTATGAGTGATCGGAGCCAGCGGTTCCAACTTCGCAGGCATAATAGACTGACTTCTCTTCTACTGTAGTCGCTGACAGCCTTTCGTAGCTACGTTCGTTCTTCACCCGCAGATCGTTTCTACCGGAAACGCGAACACAATTTCGAATTGGTTCGTTCGACACCGTTACTCGACTCTGGCACGATTCTGGATCAAGGTTCTACGACTATTCGCGATCAGCTCGAGCGGTTCAAGCGAAATTCTGTTGACAGCTGTTCTCCGTACACTTGGAACACACGCAAAACAGTTCTCGGACGTACGCCTGAGACGCACTGGCTAAACGCGGCGATTCTCCTCGACTTTTATACTCTCGCGAGCTTTCCCAGAGCGGCCGGCTCCGTGTTAGTCACGGCAGCTGGAAACGGGCCACGATGGAGGGGATCGAAGAAACAGAACGCGAGGCAGGTATATACGAGCATTCACGAGCCACGTGCAACCGCTGTTTTTCTCCTATACCGACGCCCTCACATTCGTCCAGTGCGTCGTGATACACGCATGAATGAGGCGCACATAGGCCGTGCTGTCTGTTTTTCATTTCTCTCGCTCGCTCTCCCGGCATTCGTTATCTCTTTCGCAGCGATGACGAATCTCAGAGTCTGAGAAGGGGGGGGGGGGATGTTTTCCGAAGTTAAGCGCTCGAAAATTGACCTTCGCGCGTGCTGTGTCCAATGTTTGTTACAGGACGGCTTGTTTGATCAGGAAACTCGAAGCAAACTGGAAACTACTCTGTTTGGAAACACGTTGCTGGTGCCGAAAGTCAAATTTTTCAGGAGAGTGTATCTAACTTTGTGACACACTAGGATTATGGATAACTAGAATTTTATATTATCTCGTAAAAGTAACATTTAATATGTTTATTCAGATTTGTACCGATTTTCATGGAGATATTGTTGGTTTAAACTAATAAATGTTTCATTACATCTGTAATGATCGTAAATTAACAGATTTGGAATATGCCATTTTGACGGGACTAATTATGACACGGTGTAACTTTATAATCTCACAGTGATTTATTATGTTTTTAAATCTAATTTCATGTTTCGCCACGATGTGGTAAAAGCGTCTTGTTCCGTTGCTTCTTCTTCGTCGTTGAGAAGATTATGTGTTGCGGTTTCCAACTCTTACTACCTATACATCAGAGTTTGAACTCCTTGTACGTCAGAATAAATTAAATTTCCTTTCGGATTATGAATCCGTGTTAATTTACATCTAAAGATTGATATTTTCTGGTTTCGAGTTACGTAAGTATGCTTATATTCGTACAAGAGATTCGGGTTGTACAGAGTTGAATTGTCTTCATTGGAAATGTGCTAAATGTATCTCAGAATTTAATATTACCATTGTACACGTAGGAACAGTCACGAATTTTTGTCAGACAAAATTTCGAGATAGAAATTAGAATGTATTCTAATAAAATATATTTTATATACAATTTGAATAGTCTCGATACTTTTTTTACATACAGCGGTTAACACTAGATTGCCGTTGCGAGTCGATTTGACTCATCTATGATTTTATTGCTATAAATAATATAAATAAATAAATAATTTTTTTTTAAAACATATGTTGGTTTTTCATCGAATTATGACCAACATATGTTTAAAAAAAAATTATTATCATCGTAAACGAGTCAAATTGACTTACTTCGGCAATCTACTGTTAAACCAATTATTAAGAGTATTTTTCGAGATAAGCCTATCGTTTAATGGTTGAATGCTGAAACGTAAAAGGCTATTTCTGTACGGGACTCCATTAATCTTCTTTGTTTCTTGCGTACTATTTACTAACAAACAGCTCAGAGCACACTGTTTTCCTAGGATCATGCTATCTTCGTGAATAATCGAAGGTTAAACCTTGATCTTTTCAAATGACTGTATACGTATACGATAAAAGATAATCGCACAGTTCAATTTCTATGATATAAAAACATCCAAGCATATGAATCATTTGTATAGCTAGAGATTGCTAAAGTAAGTTGTTCATAATACAACGTTGTAAAACGTTTAACGTTTAACGTAAGAATAAATGATGTGTTTCAGGTTCATTTAACCCTTTGCCGTATCCAACGTTCCAAAACGCTCCTGCTTCGTTCGAATTTATACATATATTTGAATTTGTATTGCGTTCCACGGTTGAAATACTAGGTGAAACAATTAGTTAAGTAGATTATTTTATACAAAAATTTATTAAGAATCAGATAAAAAATCATTTTAACGATAACTCTTATTGTTTATTTTTTACGATTGTTTCTTTTTTCTTTAGCTAGACATAAAATTCCACTCTGGTTCAATAAATTTAAATGTCCATTTCCTACCCTGGCAATGATCTTTGAAATGGGAGTGGCAAATGGTTAAATAAGAACAAAAACGTATGTGTAAATAACCCACAGACTAGTAGCGATAGCAAATTAACTAGAATGTTTAACTAGAATTCTCTTTGCCTTCTCGGAGAACTCTTAAAACATACCTGTCATCGTCAAATAAGATGATCATGTTACAGTAAATTCTCCCTTATTGACGCTCAGCTTGTATACAAACATGGACAATTTGGGAAGAGGAGATATGATTTTTCAAGCCTTGCGGCTCGTTTTTATGGTTACCGATTGTCAACAACTATAAAAACGAGCCGCAAGACTCGAACAATCGTACTTTCTCTTCCCAAATTGTCTATTTTTGTGTACAAGCTGAACGTCAATTAGGGAGAATTATTTGAAAATTTTACAATCTATCACTTCAAATATAGCAGTACAAACGAAAGATAACTCACCTACAGCTATAGAAAAAATACGAAAATATATTTGTTTCATACCTTAAAAAGTTCTTTAAAAGAACTGAAAAATAGCAGAAACATGGCATATGGTCTCTACAATTTATATCATCGAGCTGCAGCATCAATCGATAGTAAATTAACTATTTACCAACTTTTGTCGTTTTAAGCTTCGTTATCGATTGGTGTTTTTGTTGTTGCCTCAGTTTCTGGCGGATCGGAAGGATACGCACTGGCGACTGAAGGAACGGCGAATATACTGCGACACGTTAATTTTTGTACCGTGAAGGTAACGTTAAACATAGGTGGTACTTAATTTAATAGTCACTTGATCGATCGCAGGTTCTATTCTTAAAGCAGAAATTGTTGAGTCGATAGATCGATAGTCGACATTATAGGCTGTTGTTTATACATATATGTTTACCATTCCAAGCATATTCTTTCCTATTGAATATTAAATAGATTAAGTAATCGGCAATCCGACCGATCAATTTTCCTTGTTCGAGATAAGTAATGTTTTGATGACTATTTATAATACACAAACTACGTACTCTCTTCGCTCCCGACACTCGAGCTTATCATCTTCGAGTTCTCCGTATATGTAATTGTTATCTTGTTTCAAGGACCAGATACTGAAAACTCACGAGCTCTATCTTTCTTTCCTGTATTTAATTTAACCGATTAACCGGGACTCCTTATATCGAGACGCTTAAAAAAAATTAATAATTATTGTTACGTGACCGTGCATTCAGTTGCAAATGAATGCTGAAGCGGTGGTAATTAATGGCGGAAACCTGCAAACACAACTTTTCATGCCCTGTGATTTGCACATAATTTTTATTTACGATGGCTTCACTTTAGTTGAGGCGGTTACAACATTGCCGGTAAATAACGAATACATAATTAAACAGTTATTGTATGGAACACAGAAGTGAGAAGAAAATGTCACCTATTTACGTTTATTATTTACCCCAGTTCTAAAAATATTTACGTCGACTGCTGTTAATTTCATTGTCAAGAGACTACAATAATTAATTTCCTTTAATCTGCTGCGAATGCATTAAGTCGTCGCCAATAAACAACTGTCATTTACTTGCTTATACAATTTCTTTGAAAACTACCTATTTTCTTTGCCAATTATCTGGTGCATTAATGACTCAGTGAATATCGAAGCACCATGTGTCGCTCGACACGTACGCAAATCTACGCAGATGCACTCGCGGGGATAGCCAGTCCATTGTTTTGATGCAAATAGTGCGTACCTGCACGCATGCGTGTTTACTTGTGACAAACCAATGATATCATTCTTATCAATAGAGGACCGCACGCATTGGCTCTTATCGAACGTTCGAAAACATCGAGGTTTAAAATATTGCGTATATTGCGGAAACTAAGAGACGTATCAAACTCTCCGCAGAATTCTCGACACCATGGTCCGATGTATTTTAACCCGGGAGTACTTTTAACCCACTTGTGAGTCTAATGCTTGGAGTACCCGCGTAAGAGTCTAGTACCGGGAGCACCCACGTGGGAATCTAGTATCAAGAGTACAGTAAATTCTCCATAATTGATGCTCAGATTTATGTCTTGTGGCCTTGCGGCTTGTTTTTATAGTTGTTGACAATCGGTAACTATAAAAACGAGCCGCGAGGCGCGAATAATCATATCTCCTCTTCCCAAATTGTCCAATTTTGTTTACAAACCGAAGGTCAATTAGGGAAAATTTACTGAACTCTCCTGGGTGTCCAGTGTCGGGAGTACCCACGCGGGGGTCTAGTAAAACCCTACCATTGATAAATTTTTTTCGTACATTTACTTACAAAATTGAGCGTACATCTTTTAAAACGCGATAACTTTTTTTTAAACTGGTCTAAGTGACTTGAATTTTGTTTAGATGATAGCGGGACTGGTCTATTAGACGATGACCAAAATGCTTTTTTTGTAAATTTTGCTTGGAATGACAAAAAATAAAAATAAAGAACTTTCGTTTTTTAACTTTTTCATCCGAGCCTATAAGGGAGATTAAAAAACTGCTTCTCGTAGATCTCGGTGATTTATATCCATGCTAAAAGTATCAACATTGAGTGGCGTTGTTATGAATTACAACTGCGAAGATCGCAATTTCATTTTGACCAAAACAACTGGAAGAAATCTGCAGTTTTTTAAACTTTTCAGCACCTGTAGCTCGACTCTGGGTTAACCGATTTCGATCAAATTTTCAGCACGCATATAAGTTACCGCGATCTACGAAAGGCATTCTTTAAACTTTCGTTATAGGCACAGATAAAAAAGTTTAAAAACGGCAGATTTTTATTTTTTTGTCATCCCAAGTAATAGCAAAATTTAAAAAAGGCATTTTAGTCATCGTCTAGTAGACTGGTCTCTCTATCATCTAAAAAGAAAATTCAAGTCACGTGGTCCAGTTTTAAGAAAGTTATTGCTTTTAAAAAGGTGTACGCTCAATTTTATGAGTAACTGTACTATTTGAATCCGAAAATAGTACTTTTTTCGTTGGTGGTCCATAAGCA